CTCAAGAGGTACGCTCCTCTTTTCGCTTGGGCGAACACTCCGTTTCCCAGTCCTTGCCCACCCAGACGGTGACTTTCCCTCTCTTCCTTTTCTCTCTCCCTCCTCTCTCTCTCTTCTTTCTGGTTGCGAGTTTCCACGGGCATCAGAAATGAACTCAGAGAAACAAACTGAAAAACTCAGAGAAGAGAAGGTAGAACTCCTAGCCGGAGCAGCATTTCATTTGGACTTAGAGAGCAGCAAACCAAAGAAAAGCAAACAAATTCACATGAGAGGTCTGATCCAGCGACCGAGTCTGATCAGACTGCATACGAGGTCCTCTCGAGTTTAGTCTGACCAGCTCCGTGACCGTGCAGCAAATCAGACAACGAGTGACTAAATGCAACAATGGAGAATTGAGTGGAGTACAGAGTGCGAGTCAAGCCACGAATGGTGCAATCAAAAGCATGCGAAACGTCTCAGCCGAGATCCCCTCGGCAGTGGGTGTCCTAATCCAAGAAGAATGAGCTTCGTATCTCAGTCAGGAAGACAATGGACTAATGCCTAACAAATTTGGGTCCAAAGGGCTCTTCTTGTTTGGGCCCGGTCCCATTGGGTCCCATAGGTCCCACGTAGGCCGCGACCGGGTCCCAACCAAGAGGAGTCCCACATGGACTCAGTTCAGTTTCTACCACACCGGAAAATGAAATTTCAACTTCCGGCAGAACCTACAGACTACAACCGTTTAGAGATGAAATGACAAAGCACTGTAGAAAGAATCGGCATTCAAATCAAGCTACTTCGTTTCTCCATCCATCAGGTGAGTAGGTAGATCACACACATTCAATCACACAATCAAGACCACAAAGGAGTAGGAAAAGAAACCCAGAGTAACCCCAACAGGACAATCCATACCATGCACACATACATGGGCATCCCGTAGGTGCACGACACTTACCTGAGTGGCCTTGAGCTAGATGAATAGAACTCACCCCCCTCTCATGTGATCCTCCTGACCCCTCTAACGCTACCCCTACACTAATGTTCTATCTCCTAGGAGGGTCTGACTCCAACACCAAAGTGCAACGCCGGATCCCCTGTCGATGCTGAAGAACAAAGTAGCAACTTGCAGTCCGTAGATGCTGAGTGGCCGCTGACCCTCAAGCTCGCCTACTTGAGGGCAGCCCTTAAGTTGCCAAGTGTCTCCCTTGAATCAGATTCCAGGTGCGAGTGCCTCTCACTGTCGTCTCTCTCAAATTGCCGCGTGAAGTCTCCTCGAAATGTCTCGCCACCCTAATCTCACTCTCAAGCAACCTGGTTAGGTTCAATGTCGACCCCACATGACCTAACCAGGTGGGGGCAGCTTCCCTTAGCCACGCTGCCCCACTTCCCTTGCATCCAACCCTAACCCGTGTTGCCCTCAACCACTTAGGTTAGGGTTAGGGCAGCAGAGTCAACTCTCACCAGCAAATATAATCCGCTCCGATACCAATGTTATGATCCTGACCAATTTCGAGATACCCATCCATCAGATAGTACAATGCTGTCCAATTGCAGAAAGAAATGAATGGACTTGAGAGGCGAGAGAGGATTAGAAGAAGAAGAAGTAAGAAAGAAGAAGAAGATGATGTACACCAGCATAGACAGATGACAAGGCTCTTCTTCTTTGCCCAACAATCTCCTCCTCCTTATCTCCCCCTTCTCTTGTTCACACCAGAAATAATAATACATTGTTGAATGGCTGATCCAGAATCAATGTCCGAGTTCCTCTTCTACTGCCGGCATCCTTGAGGTCCATCATAGCCATGGCTGCCTCTTCCTCCCTTCATCATCATAGGCCGAGGCTATGGTGGACTACTAGGCCTTGCCCAGATGCCCAAAGGAAAACCCAAAGCAGCTATGGCTGCTCCAACTCAGGCCGCCATGCCCGACTCTGCCTCGAAGCTTCTTGGTGTAGCTCTCCCCAGTTGGGGACTCCCTGCTGCAGCGCCCACCAAGGTGATGAAGATGGCTGCCACCATAGCCAGGTAAGTACCCCCGGCGCTCCTCCCCCTTCCTGTCCTTCTTCCTCCTCCTTGTCCTTCTCCTTCCCCCAGCTGCGCTGCTCCAACCGGCGCTCCAACCAGTGTGTCACCAAACTTGCACACCAAGAATGAGGCCGGGCTCTTCGCTCGGCTGGGAGATATAGCGGCCTGCTTACCTCTTCGGGCGGTGACTTCCAGGCCGCTCGGCCTTCCAAGCAACCGGTACCTCCTCCCTTTTGGAGGGAAACATCATTGCGGACTCTGATATTGCCCGTACACGCTCTAGACCCAGATTGGTTGGACTGGTACCCGCCTAGACCTAACCTACAACTAGTGGGCCTCTAAAAATGCCACTTTTGTCGTCTTCTGCTCGGCCTCCAGTACCTGCACATCTACCTCTTCAAGGTGCGGTACTGGCCTACTCGCTACTTGAGTGTTTTTCCCGCTGCAATGCCTCAATGTCACGGCCACAGGTAATTACCGGCCCTGAGGGCCCAATGAACGAGCAAGTGTCCTTGCGGGCCACACACACACTCAAGCCAACCAGCACTCAGACAGGCACGGCCACACACACACTCAAGCCAACCAGCA